GTTAAAGGTGTACTAAATTCAGAGAGAATTGTACAATTTCCTAACAATTTTGTTCAATGAAAGTGTCGGGGCAGATGATACAGCTATCACGTGACTTGATTTCATTTATGACATTTTATGAAGACATGGTATGATAGAGGAACAATAAAGTTTTACTTTATGTCTTGTTTTACAAGATAATGCCTGATATCGGTCGTAGAAATGGCATTTATTCACAATTTGGTGGAATTTTGTTGTTATTTTACTTCGCAATACACAATTTTATTCGCTGATACATACAGCTCAACGCAATCACTTGTTAAAAACAATCTGAATGTAATGAAAAAACACTTTGTATCCATTTAGTGACCATAAATGAGTGTTTAAGTCACACTTTTAAGCAGTTTGGAGTCTATTTTATTGAAATCTTACATCAGACTCTTAATGGAGACCACCGTTGTCCTGTCTCTCGTCTGCTAACTGATACTCCATTCATTATAATTTTTCTTTTTGTAGATCAGATACTTCTTTACACTAAAATAGAGACTAATGTCAGGGACTGTATTAAACCTCGATTACTTGTAAGGCTAATGAATTAAACATTTACTTTTAATGTAGGGAATTCCATTTTTAGAAATATATGAATGATATTTTATATTTTTAGAGGAGCGCGAAAAGTTTTGGCGCGTGCTACACATTGGACATTACAAACGTAATGTTTGGTCATAAGATTTGGCGCGGCTTGTGAGAATAGACAGGGACAAAAACATTAACGGGACATTAAAATCAATAATGAGATGTAAAATTACAAGTAACACCGGACGCACAGGGGTAAAAGACGCCCGAGATCCAGAAATAATGGACCTCTTCGGAGGAACCACTAATTCAAAATTGGCCGAAAATAACGGCCTCTGGAATCCATATGGTAGAACTATAAACTGTCGCATAGGACAGGAATTCAAACAGACCGAGAGTACATTAAAAAAGTTTGAAATTATCTGTCGAATTTTGTAATTATACTTTTAGGAAGTCTTCAAAGACTTCAAACATGGTCAATTTAGTAATGATGTCATATCAGAAGACAGAAATAAAACGTACACCGACTGATTTTATGTCAGTACTAAAAAGCCAGTGAGCAAGTTTGCAGCGTAGTTAGATCTAGTTGATTTGTTTGGATTTTATTATTTGTTTATGGTAAGATTATCGTTTATATTTGTATTTAATTAATTTTTTCGCAATAAACCCCTGAATGAAAACAAATTAATATTAAAAATTCCTTCTATAAAACAAGAATTACAAATGAATCTGCCTTTAAATTAATTTGGTGTTTAAGGGATCTGCATTGAGTAATTATTAATTATTACGCAAAAAAGTTTTTATAAAGAATAGAAAAACAATAAAATTGTATGTCTGACATTACACCAGCCTCTGTATCAACGTCTGCCTTGCCTTTCACGGCTGATTATTTACGACAAATCGTTATGAAGATATGCAGTAGAGGTTTGAAGTCAGGAATTCACATGAGGGTTGGTTTGTCTTTTCCTTGTTTTTTGACAATTTGACACTGATGTTTCGCTGTCCTGCCGGACTGTGACACTGCGTGACCTTGGTCAGTTTTCCTGGCGACTTTTTTATTTCGTGGACAGCGTGAGAAACACTTCACTTTTTTTATTTATACATGTATATCAAAGTTACTTACATCTAACGTCAATGTGTTCTGATATATACAGTATTTAGGAGTATTGTTTGTAGTTTGTCTTTCCTTGTTCTTCAAAAATTCACCATCTAGATTACACTTTTTTGACGATTTCATATACAACAATATAGTGTATTGTTCTAGACAAAACAATTCCTATTCTATCTGTTAAGGGGGGAGGGTCAACACACAAGTAATCCAATTTATTAAATTTTACGTAGCATGGATAGAAGCTATTACTAGTATCTGTAGTAGATTTTTAGGCAAATCTCCCCATTCTATCTCCCCATTCTATCTCCCCATTCTATCTCCCCATTCTATCTCCCCATTCTATCTTTTAAACAGGGGGGTCCACAAACATTTCACACATGTATTTATTTTACCGAGCATTGAAAAAAGCTATTATCTGTGGTATTTTTCATTGCTTTTAGCCCGCTGAAAAAAAAAATTCAATAAAAGTTTCAAGGACTAAGAAGTTTTATTGCATATAGATTTTTTTGTAATGTTACCAAATTAGGGAATGTATATTCTGGAAAACATTAGTACTTTAATAATGTAGATGACAAGACTACTAAAAATTATATAAACACATACTTGTGTATTGTTTAGCAAATAAAACACACAATATGACTATCTTAAGATAGTTGTATAATTTATCTGCTAAAATATTTATTATATCAGGAATTACAGTGCATTGTCGTTTACTGATTTTTTATTTGAAAAATTAGAATAAATACACGACTATTTAATTTTCAAAACAAAAATCAGTGAAAGTATAAATATATATATATATATATATATATATATATATATATATATATATATATATATATATATATATATATATATATATATATATATATATATATATATATACATGTATATATATATCTTTAAAAATAATGATAATATTTTTGAAATAAATATTAATAAATAATAATTATATTTAGATGTGGTATGTGGTAAATATTGAAATATTGCAATAAACATTTTCACTAAAATGTCAATAACTGTCTTCATATCCTTATTAAATTCCTTTCTTTAGAAAAATAAAATTTCTACTGACTAATATCTAAATTAAAGAATTGATTTTAAAATAAGGTGATTCGATCACAGATTGAATTTAAAAATTAAAAAAAATATAAAAGAGTTGTCGCACATTACACGTACAATGTTTGTTTTTTTTTTTTTTTTTTTTTTTTTTTTTTTTTTTTTTTTTTTTTTTTGAATGTATTTCAAGAATTGAGCGATCAAGGCAGTGCCCCTAGCAACGTCTGTGCGTTTTTACAATCTTGTTTGTAGCTCCTGGATGATTTACACAACACCGTGTGTTGCTGTGCGCGAATTTAAATTTCAAGAGGCTACACTTAGATTATTTCTTTAATCCCACTGATCGGGAACTTCAAAAGAGGTTCATAAAATTTACGATGCCCATCCTATTATTTCGATTTCTCGATACCTGTATCCTTGCTCCAAACATGTGCAATTTGTCGGTTCCGCGATAATTACACATTTACTATCGAAACTCATAAACGGGCGATTCACGGGGTTTTTACACAGTCTTTAATTTGATTGGTTGCAGTGAGACGCTTCATGAATATTCAAGAAGCTAGTTCCCATGACCGACAAGGGCGATATAAACGTAAAATTCTACTCTCTCTGTGATCATAATCATAATTTCCCGATCAAACCAAACAGAAAAATCCTAGCATAGTAAATACCTAATACAACTTTATATTACAACGAAGAATTCATCAAATATCCGCCGTATCTCCCGGGAAAAGAAACGAATCGGCAATACACAGTCAATTATCTGATTGGAGGGAATTACCACGTGGTTCAAGTGACAGCTCTATATTTTTATTCGTTGCATACGGAATGTACTGAGGTCATAGGTCATAGAGTGTTGGAACATCGAAGGCATTCGTGTATTTATGAGTTTCACTACAGTATTATCATTTTACATGTGATCGTAACATAAATATGTTTAAGTGATATTTAACTGTCGGATGGCTGGATTTTTTATCGGTGTTCTAGGTATGTGTTTAATTCATGTCACAAATAGGAATTACTTGATTGCAAATGTATTCTATCGCGTGGTTTGCATTTAATTTTTTTTTCTGTTGTTGGTTCGCAGTCATTCAAATAATACATCATAAAGTTTTATGCACTTTTCACTGTGTATATTAAATTAATCAAAAGCGACATTTGGGAGTTAATGTTACAATTTATTTCTCTTTAAATAGAAAGATTTTATAAAACATTTTTATGCAGTCAGGTAAAACTCCGGGCGGGACAGGTACAAAGGAGGCTAAATTAAAATAACAAAGAGGAGGAAAATTGAAGTAAAAACATCCTTATGCATGTTGCTTCAAGTTTTACATATCTTGTCAAGTGTTTAAAAAACCTAATTATATTTTGTTGAGATTTTGGTCTCCGATTAGGATGCGTCTGATCTCCCCGTGGCGACAGATTCCGCATTTCTCCATTTTCCCCGAATTCAAATGTCTCTAATGCATTAACATTTGAATTTCAATTCACAAATTCGGTACAAAAATCAGATCTTATCAGCTTGCGTCATAAATGACTTTAATTTGGACAGAATTCACTTCTTTTATCTTTTTCCTGTTCATACATAGAAATCACACTTTCCAATATTTTTAATGTTCATTCTCGAACGCATTTCCTGGGTTTAAATGGATATATAATCATTCTTGACAAATTAGTCTTCCCATTGAATTTCATATTGACACCCTATAAAACGTCTTACTTTTGAAAGACCTCTCCTGAAGTAAAGTCATAAAAAGGAAATATTAATTCAATATGTATCTTTCAGGTAAGAAAAATATAAAGATATGTAACAGTGTAAATTTTTATTGTCCAAATAATTTTATTGTTTTCTAATAGATTACAGCATCGTTAACAAAACTAGATAAATATATACTCACGTCAAAAGAATGTGTATTAAAAATTAAGGGTAAGGTGTATTACGAAGTCTTAGTCATACATGTTCTTCTGGGTAAGAAGGGCTATTTAAGAATATCTGTGTGTATAGTGAATCTAAAACTTGGATGTTATGCAATCGTTTTTTTTTTTTTTGTTGTTGTTTTTTTTTTTGTTGTTTTTTTTTTTTTTTGTTTTTTGTTAGAGAGTCTATACAGAATTAAGATAAATTTAATTTTTATCATAAACAACTTTTGACTAATAAGTATTCGTAAATATACTATATATTTTTGAAGAATCATACTATTCATATTTTTTTTTTAAATCCTAGGGTAAAAATTTATTAATTACATTCTAACAAATGCTTTTTATTTTGTTGTAGTTGGAATGACCAATCATGGAAACCGTGGGAAATAATATTCTAGCTCATGGCGCTCTTCCGTTTTATCAGAACGGCTTAACTACATCTGTCTCCAGTATTCTCTCGTCTAGTCCTGGGGCCCAGGACAGTATCTCCCGGACCACCGCTATAGGGGCCCAGAACGGATGGCCCTCTTACTCCGCTGACAGCTCAATCCCTCCCCACAATTCCTGCTCCATGTCCTCCTACAGCAATCTACAGCTGGGACCCTCATTCTCCGCCATGAACGGGAAATCCCCTTACAACACATTTGCTAGTGCGGGTGCGGACTATTTAAACTGCCGACAAATGCAGTTAAATCATATGAACCTTAATGCTATGCCAACTATGAGGAACTATCCCCCTTTGTATTCTGACATGTACCCCTCTGCCCATACAGCAGGCTACACAAACGGCAGCTTTTACCCGGATATTCCTCCCGGATTACCCACCCTTCCCGGCAGAGATATAGACTGTCGGAGTGCTACATCAGAATCATCCAACCAAGGTAATGCATTAATGGAATTACATTAAATTCAATTTACAAAATACATTAAAAATCCTACGTTTGAATAATCACTGTCCTTTTTCTTGCATCCTGGGGGTAAAGATATGTATTTAAATAAAAGAACATAACTTCTAAAAAGTAATTTGTTATTTTCATTATCCTCTTCATTCCACTATCTTAAAATTAGAATACCTTTATTTTGGAGTAAACAAATGCATGCCTAAAAAAAAAAAACTTAGATAATTATGGAGACCGTTACGAGGTATCCAACCTGTCGCCTGGGTTTGATTTTTTAGTACACAAATTGTCATTGTAAACTCGCTAAATACAAATGACGAATTCTTAAATTGCAATAAAATGTCAGCTTTCTGTATTGTAATTGGTAATCACTAATACCGCATATGTTTAGTATCTTCAGCCGGGGCCTATAAATAGTGTATTTTGTTATAAAAATACAATACACTGTACGAAATAGGTGGGAAAAATAGCAAGTGTGGTGACAACACTAGAGCCGTTACATATTTAAAATATTTTTACTTTAAACGCATGTAGACAGAATTCAAATTTTTGAAACAACAAACTAAATATAGGTAGCTAATTTCAATTTAAATTCTATTTTTTTCTCTCTCACCCATTCATATCTATGATACCGTAGGATGGTAAATAATTACAGAGAGTGCATAGGGAGACATCGAAATTGGTGCAAGCGTGTGACATCCCTCGCTCTTATTTCAAAAATAAATGAATTTAGAATCCAAAGAGTGCTTATCGCTTTGAATTAGTTCAGAATCAAGTGTCATTACTACAAGATGCCGCTCTACATTGTCTAAGCGAGAGATTGCATGACAGGAATCGTATGTTTTTTTTAGCAACAAACTTCTCAGAAATGGTCTCTGAATAATTAAAACAAAGACTTACTTCTCCCTGCCTTAGAACGGAAATCACGGACTATCTAATTTATTTGACAACGTACCTACAGTGATGATACTGTCGACAAAATTAGAAAAAGCAACAAGCAAATAGATTATAATGTTAACTTCGTTAATTAATTACTTTTATAGAAAGCGAGAATTCAAAATGACAGGATAGAGACATTCATTAATTAGAGGTCGTGTATGAACAAAATACACATTATATAATTTCCGTTACAAGGTGAAGGGTTTGATTTTCCCCGGGGGGCGCGATTGACTGCTATTGACAATCGATTTGTACCTAATCATATTCTTTACATGTCTGTCAGTTACTCTCTCTGTCTTTATCCATCATTGTCCACACTGATCAAAATTTAGCTTTTTACCTGACCCTTGGGGTCTGTATTGTCACTGACGTTTTTATCGTAAAAATTCTCCGGACATTGATACTTACACCGGCTTCTCCTAACACTCAGTTCCAAGGTATGCAAACAGGACCCCCCCCCCCTCCCCTCAAAATCACACGAAGCAGGTTAAATACAGACTAAATTCTTAATATATGTAATCAAATGAGGTGACTCTGCTGAGTTTTATAGTTTTGGCTGAAAACAAGTAAATGTTTCTTTGGATGAGAAATAAAAACAACTCCACGTCAAGGAGCAAGTTCAGTTTTCTTATGTAATCATACAAACATGTATTAACATAATAAGAATTACGGAAATAAACTCATGAATTATTTGCATTTATTTAAGTTGTCAACCGTAAAGTTCGTTTTTTGTTGCAGGATGAATGAAAGTCAGAAACAGGTTTTTGTGTCCGTATGAATCTCTCGTGGGTTTATCAAAAATTTTAAAACAAACATAACGTATCGAAACGCAATAAAATTTCCAACAAATTATAGTTAAATTCATTTTTGATATGAATAGTTTGACTTTTAAATCGGTCAGCCCTACCATCCCAAGACTCCATACACATAGAGATCGATATACCGGTCTTCCTTATATCATAGAAATATTTAACAACATGGATTTTTTTTTAAATACAGAAAATGATTTATTCATACAGGAAATTATTTACGTGTGATGTAGAAACATGAAGAACAAATATAATATAAGCATTCGAGTGAAAATTTTTTCGAGTGAGCAGAAATGCAGCCAACAGATTTAAATGAAGACGCACTTACATGTAGTATTACTCCTGTTTATGAAAATACCTTTTTAAAACAGAAATAAATATCTTGTTTTTGGTTTTTGTCGATGGTGTACAGTCGCCACCTGATGTACTTTTGTTTTGTTATTTAAATTCAATAATTAGGATGTGTGTTTAAGGAGTGTTAGACATGTTTAGAATTGTCGTTTTTTCGCATCATAAATACAGAAATTGAAGACGTGTGTTAACACCAGCACGGTATCTGATGTTGAGATCTAAACAGAAATGAAGCATATCGGTTCTGGGGCGATTATCGAAAAAATATACCCTAAATGCCCCATACATGCAAAGTAGAGCTTAGGAACTACATTTATCTTGGTTAAGATCACTTTCTCATCTCATCAAACAAAACAAGGATATGCTGAATTTTGTTTTTCTGTATGAGAACAGTCGACAAATTTTAATTCAGTTACACGACTTCATTGCAATTTCTTAAATAAAAACAGAGGAATATTTCATATTTCATTTGGTCGAAGGTTAGAATCGTACTGGACATCTATCATTTACACTAATGACTGCGTCACTGTCCCGCCCGAATTTAACACATTACTGACAGCTTTGTCCACTGGCAAGCAGAAATCACATTAATTACATATATAGGCTCTCTGCACCCTTCATATCATAGACTTGCACCTTTGAAGTTTCCGCGTGCAACCAGACTTCTTATTTTCATACGAGTATAGCAGACACAGGTGCGAAAGTCGTTATACATGGACGATCGGTGGTTAAATTGCAAATCATTTTTACAGAGGCATGTTAATTCAAAATCTTCGGAGAATGACTTTCTAACAAAAAAAAAGTATCCTAGATAAATGATATACAAATATCAAAAGTTTTTTTTTTCCTTTAAGACAAACTATTACATTAGGCATATTGCATACATGTATGTGTTCGACGGCACCAGCATGTTTGGAACAAAAAAAAAATAATAATCCAGTATTGATCTTATTTAGTTAATTGTCCATGGGGGGTCGTAAGTCGTCCATTTTGTCAAAAGACTAAGCTGGCATCAATTTTCAAATTATTGTTTCTGGATCACATAAGACACCGTTCGGGGATCAGCTGTTAGTTTCACACTTCCGCTAATTGAGACCTTCGCTTTTTCCAAAGTTCACCGTTTTGGGCCCCAACTCTAATATTTATTACATTAATTAAACAATATTCCCCTGGTTAAAAATAGCTACAAAATCAAGCTCGCCAGAACAACATATCAGAGGGTGAAGAAACAGAGTATAAACAAGGAATATTTCAAGACTGGTGTATCGTCTCAATCTAAACACATTTAAAATCTCACCTTTTTTGTGACAGAAAACATCCTTTTAAGGAACATTTAAGCGAATGTGATTTTCCGGTTGTTTGTTATGAAATGCATTAAGGCTATATTATTTCGCACAACGTCATGGTCAGATAATTTGGCGACTTGTTATGCATTTGAAATTTATGCTTTAAATTTTGTGAAAAATTTCCATTTTGAGTAAAGATGTGAAAACTTATACTTATGGGACAGAGGGCTCTAATACTAGTAATTGTAAGGAAAAACTTTAAAATTATAGTCACAAACACATTGCTTCCCTTAGGTTTTTTTTTTACGTAAACCATGGAAATGAACACTAATGCACTAGTGTGAATAACGGTGCATTGTTTGATGCATTTTTGAAAATGTTACGTTTTTTAGCAACATCCGTTACAATGAAGTATGAACAACTAATAAATTGACGACCGACGTAAATGGATATAGGAAGGTAGCAAATATCCAGACTTTGAATAACGATTATTAACGAACAAGTAAAGCTATCTCAAACAAATTAAAATAAAAAGTCAGAAGTGTTGCATTGGTTTATATCTTATTACTCCGTAATTCGGAAAAACGCCGTGCAAATTTCATAGCTGCCAGGAAGGCAACAATGGGATTTCGCGGTCACTAGGAAATACAATCCAAAAAAATCCAAAAACACTTTATTTATATGACATTTAATGAAAAAAATGGCAACATAAATTAATGAATTAATATGCCATAAGTTGCATAAATACGATACGAAATTCAGAAACAAGTAAATAGAGACGATAGTCAATTTCTGCCGTATAATGATATCCCGCACGAAATGCATAGAACGGATGGATTTGACAATTCTACCTTGAAATCGCTTGGTATAAAATTTCAACAAATTATTTACATATTGATTTCTTATGAATTTTATGGTTATAATCCGGATTGTTATTCAAATTTCCCCTCATTTTACTTTTTCTCAGCCCCATAATACGAACCTATCCATGCACGAAAAATTAGATCACGTATTGGTATTAACGTAAATGGCTTGTAAACAAAACACATCAAGAAATAAATAAAAAAATGTTGCTTTTATTTCCTTATGTTGAATTTCTTCTTAGTCTCGCTTAATTTTTTTTAAAAAGATACATTTAACTCCCTAAGCACTGGTTGCCCCATCATTACAGATTCACGCCCGAATGCTTTACTAAGCTTTGTATTGTGGTCCACGGACATCAAAGATGGCTGTTTACGGCCCAGTGCACCGCATTATGGACAAACTTTGGACAAAACACAACAGTGGTTACATATGCTTGATTTCATGTTGTCAATTCAACATAATTGGGCGGATAATATCAGACCCAATAGTATCCTATTGTCCTAAAATCCTAAGATGTCTGTAACTTATTGATGTATAACTTTGACGCAGTAATACGTACATGTATAACCTATGGAGATATTTCTAACAATCCATGTGAATTAAAATAGCGGTCCAATCTTGAAATAAAGGAAAACTTTCTTTAATTTTTTTTTTGAATGTATATAACTGTTTTTGCGGCTAGTATAGGAGATTTCCCTTTGTATAAGACACCTTTGTAAACATGCTTTGGTTTCCGAAAGACAGTTTGTTACAAATCTCAACGACACTAAGCGATTCGCAAAACATTCTTTAATGTAAATTTTCAACAAGAATAACTTTGATGGAAGGAAATGTACGAGGAAATATTTCAAATTTGCATTATAATTTTCTATGTTTCAGAAAATAGGTGTTTCAGACTTCGTAAAGTATGTCCTTACGTGATTGTTTGGCAGTATTAAGGTCGATAACACGGTCTTCAATGCCGATCTCTGAACTGTAGTTAAAAGGTTGTCCTACAATGTCCTGAACAAGCCTCTCTAAATCTCAGTTTATGATATCATACTTCTTTCTTTACAGAGTCCAAAGGCAGAAAGAAACGGAAACCATACACGCGATATCAAACTATGGTGTTAGAAAATGAGTTTTTGAACAGTTCTTATATAACTCGTCAAAAGCGATGGGAAATTTCATGTAAACTCCAACTATCCGAGCGACAGGTCAAAGTGTGGTTTCAGAATCGTCGAATGAAACGAAAGAAGCTGAATGAACGCGCAAAAGCGAGGATAAGAGATGGGGACGACAGCAAAGACCATCTGCTTCAACAGGCTCATCACGCAGGCGCAGTTCAGGCATGAGATATGTTCATCACTAGGAGAACAATAACACTGATTAAATGCTGAAGCAAAGTGTAATGGTCCTATAGATGGGATACAAGTCCGAATTCTCGTGGGGCGGGATGATTCGGAGGTTTAAGAAGTGGACCCTCAGTAGCCAAGTAGAAAAGTCCTTGACAAAGACGATATTTATCGCTTCTGTACCAAAAGCAGGGAAAATGCTCACTGTGTGTTTTATTATTTCAGTATAGAGTGTGTACAAGACTATTTTACATGTGTAAATATTGTTCTGTGTGTCACGTGACCCAGTCGTATGCTAGAACATTTTTTTTTATCATACAAGTGGAGTATTATACATTTTCATTATTTCTTTGTGTAAATTGTAGACAGTTACCAGTACGATTGTCCGTAATGCAGAATACCATTCATAGTGTTAACAAAACATCTATCGAACTTGTCTCTAGAAACATATTTATTGATTCTTTTCTGTGTTTTTTTAAATTTTTAATATAACATTGAGTTTTTTCTTTAAATGATAAAATTAAGAACACCAAAGTTATTGATTTACTGTTAAGCTTAGATAATACGCATTTCAGCTTTTGCTAAAGAAACATTTCTTATCAAGTAAATAATGGTAAATTCCGTGGAATGTCACGACATCATGCTACACCCAGTTTTCATTTGTTTTTAACTTAAAAACACCGAAGACAATTTCTAAAAACAGTTACTAAACAAGAACGGAAAACGTGTTGTAAGTGAAAATTTGCAGTCCAAATAGGAGTTTGCCGCAGGGAGTGTAGCGATCGAAATATGTTCGCGGTAAAAGATTTACCTTATTTACAGTTAAATGTATTGAGAGAAAAAGAATTTTGATATACAATTCAGGAAGTAAATATTCTATTTTTTCTTCAAACATACATGACAAACATCGTGGACATTTTTTTAATGATGTCATGAAGTTTTAGCTTACATGATTTTATTTATCATTTTTTGTTTTGATTACAACTGGTTATTCCTGGTATAGTCCAAAGCAAATCCAACCCACTCCACTTAGGTGTGTAGAGAGGCTGGATCCTCCCCTTCTTGTTGTTATGTCAGTCTAAGTTATACTTTTTACAAAACGAATACATATATTACATTGTCCCAAAACGAAAGGTACCCGTTTCTCCCCAGTTAGGGGAGTCTCTCAGTGGGTCAATTTCAAACCAAATGTTATATGGAAAAATAAATGAAATATAATTTATCTTCCGTCTTTGTATTGTTTTATACTACAGTAGATGTTATACCTTTGGTCTATAAGACATGGACAAATACATGTACAAATGAATTCTTGAGAAGAAGATCTAAAATATTACTTTTTTTATTCCGTTAATTTTTGAAAATGATGACAAAGAGAATTCTTATACAAATTTAGAGTTCAGTTATGCCACCTGTCTAGGGTGGAAAGGTCATACAATTTTCTACCGATTTTTTTTTTAAATGTACTAATGGTACATGAAAAGTTTAAATCTAAAGTTTAAACTTATCTATAAATATCAACTGTAGATATATTTCAACTTTAGATTTAAAATTTTAACATGGAGTCATTTTTCCAGAAACAAAACAGCAAATTTAGACAACAATTATTTTCTTTAGAAAGCTATTCACTTGACAATAGGGAATTGTAAGAGGCTTAAAATGTACTTGTACAAGTGTATTAAATGTATTTGCACACGTGTACAACACAATGTTGAATTCATGTGTGTATTAAATTTTACCATTATCGAACTTTTTCAATTTTGAAAATATACCGTTTTAAATCTTAAAAACAAATTCTACTGAATTTTAACTGCCAATTTGGGATCATAGAGCAAAATACCAAAAAATAAACTCCTGAAGAAGAACATCTGCATTGACTTACTTTCAAGAATCGCATTGGAGTAATGGACATCGTGCCCAGAAAGTATATAAATTGCAGTTATTTTTCTTGTTTCCAGCTAAATAGTTCGAATCAAAAATTAAACTAAAAACATTATATTTCAGTTGATATCTAAAAATGTATTGGTGTATACCGGTATATTACGGGATGAACCATAAAAAAGGAATCTTGCTGATTTTAAATTGACAAACGTCATGCGTGGGATAACCACTAAATTACATAATGTAGTCTTTTGAATTACATAATGTAGGCTTTTCGAAAAATCGGTAGAAACACGATTTTTTTATGAATAGAACGATGGCGAAGTAATACTTTTATGTATAGTGTATTGACTTTATATACTTTGCAACTCTCGAAATACAAACTGAATGTCTTAACGACAACGATTAGCTTTTAAAAAATATAACTACACATTTAAAAAATAATAATGATAAAAATTATAATAATAATCCACTAAAGATTGAAAAAGATCATTCTTTTTTACAGTATATCTTCTTAGATGATTAAAAAAGGATCAGTATTTTTTTTCATTTTAAATTTTTTCAATGTGTTCCAATTTATTACTATATTCGATATATTCAATTTATTTTGCCAAAATACATTTCGACTGGACGTATAAACCATTTTTTCTTTTGTTAATTATATTAACCTCAGATGCAAAAAAAAATTAAAATAAACACAAACTAAATAAATAAACAAAAGCAATCGCAAAATAATGCCCCATGAACCTGAAGATTATCCCCCCCCCCTTTAATATTTTCCCTATCGGTTGAATGATCAGATAGGGAAAGTATTAAAGGCAAGTAAAAAATCAAATTAAAATAGAAAATTTTCAAACAATTCGGGCACTTAAATTCAACAAATCGTTTACAGGGTATGTTAAAAACAGAAAAAAATGCATGTAACAGATTTTTTATTATAGAACAGCCAATTAAAAGTCTTTTTGACTCAATTTCCTAAAATAATGACCTTAAAGGAAGCTAATGGGTGATCTTCCTTAAGTGTATGACAAGGTGGCGGGGTTGGACTAATCACCTGTCAGGAACACACGGAATGGAAGCTAATACACTTAATGGCACAGGGCAAAAGTGCTCTAAATGTCTGCAGAAGTCAAAATGGTAATTTAAACCTTAATTTTACTTCTGAAAATTAAGTATGTGTTTCGACAAGTGCAGTCATTTTTGAAAATACTCTATTCTAATTATCTGTATTAATATTCGCTTTCATTTTAAAAGTAAAACTCAAATTTGAAATGCAAGTAACGATCTCAGTTTCTTAAAATCAAAGTTTGTGTTTAATTCTAAAAGTATTACATATTCTATTCCTTTGAGGTACTTTTCTCTTACACAGAACACCATTCCTAAAGTAAGCGTAGACAACAGGTGTATTTTATTTTCACACCACAATTCAAGCCACGACAGCATTCTACAAGACTCTCTTATTTCATGATGAGAAGAGGTTAATACACTGCAATAGTCAAAAGTTAAAAACAATTCTCAAAATGGGCACTTTCTTTGAAAGCTGTTTGGGACTGCAGAGACATAAGACGATCTATAAGTAATATCGGAATGTTCAGTAGAAGCTTTATCCTGGTAATAAACTCAGACAGCTAATTAAGTTCATCTTCACTCCTGCTACAGGAAAGCCAAACGTCAATACCCTCCTCGCTGCATTATCTGTGAAGTTGTATGCAGCTAAAATGCAGCTATGTGCATGTAAACCGAGTCTCGAACAATTAAAGAATCGATTTTTGTACATCGATAATTTTTTTTTTTTTGCCTCGTCAGTTACTAATAATTAACTCAACATATATTAACGAAATTGTCACAATGAAGAATTTTAAATTGAGATGGCATGAAGAATTATTCATACAAATGAGAAGAAATTTTAAACTTTAATGCACCCATCTGATTTCTTTCCTCAATATTGAAGTCCCAGCAGTAAAATTCTATTTTAAATTAAGTGTATAAACAGTCATACATTGTTTGGAATAAGTCACACTTTATTAACCCAAGTTCCGACACCTTTTCCGTCGAATTTCCATATTGAAATTTACATAGTACACGTGATGTGTTCAAAACACCTGTCAGGTCATTAATATTTATACCCTTTATCGTAATGTGGTGGAAAAATACATTTTATTCTAACATAGAATTGTTTTTTTGGATATTTTCTTATAACTGTACATACGATTTCAAAATATCGAGGTATTGCAAATGAACTTTCGAAACTTCAACAAAAAGCTGCACCCAAATCGATTCTTATAAAATGTAGCCAGTGCTGGTTTACGAACCCTTCTTTGGTTAATAATAAAAAAAAATGCTACATATTACAAATAAAATCTATTTTAGAAAGCCAAAATAAAAATTTAAACAAAAATGAAGAAAAATACACCCTTCTCCTTTCTTACAGTCACGGTACGTCATTCGGTAGAGCGCTCGCTTAGCGATCGTAAAGTCGTTGTTCTAGCCCGGGTCGCAACTGAACTAAGTCGATGAAAAATGGGTAGCAACTGTCCCTTAATTTAATTCAATCAGTATTTTATTATGTAAAGTTAGTTTACATAATTGGATTGAACATCAGGCATGGCCTATATAAGTCCTCTCCAAGAAGGTCAAGGTTACAAATGTTAAGAATTGACAATGGTTTACAATCATGATGAAGTAATTCATAATAAGTTGTATTAATTTCTATTGTAAACTAGAAAAAAGATGAAATGAAGAAGATAAATTATATATACACAAGAGTTATTACTTAGCATGTATTCTTATATCGACTTAATACATAGCGCATATCTGTGGGCAGTTCTTATGAAAACTGTAGTTGTATATTGAACAAGATAATGTTATAATAAAAGGCGATGAGCCGACAAACTTGCGCTCATACTTATTTTTCCATAAAACGTGTTCAATACAATATAATGAAAAGAAAATAAGAGTGCAAACAAACAACAAAACTAAACAAGTAAATAAATAAAGTGCAAAAGACAAATACAAAAAAAGAGGAAAATAATAATTATAATAAGTAAATAAGTAAATAAAATTGGAACAAGCAACGAAACTGAATGATAAGGAAAAAAATGAAAGAAAGTGCAAAAGAGAAATATGCAAGGAAAAATACAACATATACATGGAAATGCTGAGATTTGAAGTAAGTATGAATATCAAAATATTAGGAAATTAAGTAAAACTTAAAAATGAAATAATATCAAATTCTCTTTAAAAACTTGATATACAGTTGGACTGCTTCAAAAACTGAACAATCAGTTTTATTTGTTAATTGCCCATCACCAAACAGCAAAGTATGCAGAATTTGAGAGAGGGTTTCTAATTCTATTATACTCTGTAGACTTTCAAAAGTATCATGCTTTGATTATTATAGGCAGGGCATCCAAGAAAAAAGATGATAGTTTTCCTCGCTCTGATAATATGATATCCGCACTTAGTACAAGATGCCATTTCACTTAAGTACTGATTTTATATATATATATATATATATATATATATATATATATATATATATATATATATATATATATATATATATATATATATACACCTGAGTGTTTAAAATACTAGATTCATGTTTTAGTTGACAATGTATAATGTTTTCCTTGCGATTACCATAATTAAAGATCTTGATATTCTTTATTCTGTCTACAGTAGGTTTCTTTAGGATATTCTTAAAACCTGAATAGGAATCAATATATTGTGTTTTTAATGGTAAATTGTTCTAGAACTATTCAAGTAGAAGGCAGAAAAGTGTTGAAATATGAGATATGACAAAATTAAAATTACCAATATTTCCAAGATTGTAACCATACTTTGGTAGGACCAGGTAGGACCATTTCTTGCAAATAGAGAGGGGCTATACCATACACAGTTTTATAGAATAACAAGAGGTTTTGTCTTCCCTTCTCTTATTTAATGGTTCCCAACCTAATGTTCTAAATACAGAGCATTTCTAGATGAATTTTTCCTAAGTCCTGGTACTTAAAAGTTGCGGGTCCTTCGGATGAGACCTTAAAAACCGAGGCTCCATGTCATGGCAGTCGATTCCCTCACTGATCAATGGCCCCGAGTCTAAATTTGAAGCCCTTCACCGGTATATCGTGATGTCTCTATATGAGTGAAAAATTCTCGACGTCTCTATATGAGTGAAAAATTCTCGAACGGGATGTCTGTTAAGGAATTGTTCAAGATAAGGACACACCGCCCAAGTCTGAAAAAATAGAGAAAACAAAATCTTCGCTTTAAATTACAAATTTCACATATTTTGTATGAAATGTTGATGCTGACTTTATAAATCATTAAGTTAGGAAAGAA